TTCCACTTACAACCCAGGTCAAGAAGTTGGTAACTCCCTACACTTGTTTTCTCAAAAGTGTATGGCTATAAACGTATAATGCATCACCAATGCTTTCCATACATCTGTACACCTACAACCCCGGCACAATTTCATTGAAATCCGATCAGGACAGTCGAGAACCTCTGCCCCACGTAAAATCCGAGATATCCCCGGATATCGAAAAAGGAATCGCTGCTGTTCCTTAACTTCCGAGAATCAAACAAACGTCTGGGAATTCCTACGCAAACCATAAAAACGTCCCTGTTTAGGAGGCTCCGTATGCTACCCGTTTTCGTAGTGCTTCCGGGAACCATCAGCCTCCCTCCCCGCCTCCTACCTGGTTTACCAGAATAGAGTTTTCCCCGGGTGGAACAGGGGTTGCTCGAGAGATTTCACTGGATTCGTCGAAGTCGCATATTTTCCGATCCTCTTTGCTTTTCACCCCACCTTTCCCCGATCCCCTTTCTTCGGCAGGAAATCCGCGAACGCGTATGCGCATACGCGTGTGTGTCCTATGTGTATAGGTGATCTCTCGCGGCTGTCTCCGGGGCCCGTCCGAGGCCGTTCCTAGGGTTGTATATCGGGAAGGGGCGGCGAAGGAAGGGGTGGTGGAAGGTATCGCAATGCCTGGAATGTTTAATACCGGCGGCAACGACACGGCACGGAGAAATGGCCGGCTTCAGCCACGGAATAAATCTCGCGGAATCATACCTACCTGCCTCGCCATTTCTTGTCTGCCAGCAGACGCCCGCCGGAGAATTTTTCAGCTGGCCGCCAGTGCAAGGGTGGGGGGACGCTTATTGCGGCGGCAAGGGCTGAGAAGTGTCCTCCTTTTTTGTCCACCCACCCCCAGGTCGAGTAGATCCCGCAGTGGTACCATCAGGTTGCTCCGTTGGTCGTTCTGATTACGCGTGGAATGGGATTAAAGGGGGTGCACAAATATTCGAGCTCGTTCGCCAGTGTCATTCAATATGAGATTTATTACCGAACGGCGGAATTGTTGGGTGATGTGTAGTAATGTACGATTTTGTTTGTTTTCCTTTTTGAGGGGGGCGGTTGGGATAGTTTATTTTTGTTTGTTTCAAGAATACAGGAGAAGTAGAGGTACAGTTGTGGGCAAAAGAAATTTTAACACGGTTACCGCCTCTAGGGTAGAGGTCGTACGTAGCGAGATGCACTTTATATTGTTTCGTGAGTCATAAATCGTCGGAAATATATGCTTTTAGTTAATAGAGGCTGTTGATCTCTTTTTTTTTTCAATTTCAAGGTAAAAGTCCCATCAACAGTGAAGATTATTATCGAGTAGAATAAAAAGTGGTTACAACATATAACAATACTTGATATACATATGGGTGATAATGTATAGTAGTAGAGAATATACAGGGTGTTCCACCTAACTCTGCCACTCTTAATTATTCTCCTGTTTGTCATGGTACAAAAAAATGGTTTAGGAGAAAGTTAGTGCATTTTAGGGGGAAAATTAGGCTATAAGATTGAAGGTCATCTAAAGGTCATATCTTCTCAGATTTCTCTAATGATAACGTTCTTGTTAAATGGAATGCCCTATTTCTTTGTTCGCCATTACAAAGAGATCAAAACGTATCCAACAATGTATCACACCATGGGGTGACAACAGTTTGAACATACACTAAAATAAAAACTAATGCGATTATGGCGTTTATTTTATTTCTGCAATTTATTTTCTGTGAGCTTCCACCTAAACCAGTTACGTACGAAATTTTCAGTCCAAGGTCATTTCAAGGTTATAGTGTGACACATTATTGGGTACGTTTTGATCTCCTCTTTGTAATGGCAAACACAAAAATAGGTCATTCTGTTTAAAAAAAACGTTACCATTACAGAAATTTTAGAAGATATGACCTTGAGATGACCTTCAATCTCAGCCTAATTTCCCCTAATTTGAAGGAGCACCTTCTTGATTTTGTACAACACAAACAGCTTATTGCGATAACAAAATGTAGACGAATAAAGAAATATAATAAAACTATAACGATTACAAAACAATACATCGGAGCACCGAACAAACAGAAATACACTTATTAAGACCGAAGCGCCGGTAATAAAACTGTAATAATTAGGAAGCACCCATAACTAATTCGCACGTTTCACGGACAAAGGTTCGTCACGAGTAGATGGAGACAAAGGCTCGTTGCGGGTAGTTAGACAGTTATTGGAATAAAAACTAGTGCTAGCGGTCACGTAGGCACCTCGTACAGCAACAGTCCTTGTGGTAGGACTGAGAGCGCAACTGCCAGACAAAGTCCTGGCAGTGGCTAGAGAAGGATGCCGTTGTAACTGTACGAGGTGACCCACAGGTGTCGGTACTATGATTACCCGTGACGTAACGCTTAGTCTCCGGCGACAATGATCGAATCGGCACGATAATCATCGAACTTAGAGATGAGACGCGCTGTACGCGCTCGCCGGTCACGAGGCTGGCCTTTCGGCGCGCATGTCGTCATGCCGCGGCCGACCCAATCCTGAACAAACAGTTTTCTACTTTTTAGCGCATTTTGAAGTCGGTACACATTTTCTGAACAAAAATTTGGTATTTCGTACTTTCTAGTGTAGGAAGCAATACCGATAGGCCAATGAGCCAACGTAAGATGGTCTTCACTGTCATTACTAGACAATAATCGTAACGAAGAAAGCAAAGGGAACTACTTTCAACTATTTGGAAGGACACCATTTTGGGAATGAAAATAATAGTTTATAATAAACAAGAAAAATCAGAAATTTGTCACGAACACCCTCTACAAGGCACCAAAGGTTTCATATCGATTGGTCCATCCGTTGCAGAGTAATCGCTGGACACAAAAAAAAAGAAACATACACATCGAATTGTATGATCTCCTCCTTTTCGAAGTCGGTCAAAAAAATACGAATTTTTCCAGCGTATTAACACGTTACATGTAACGGGACTGGTCATTGTTTGTTCAGCTCCGAAGCGATGGACGGCCATTTTGTCAACGTTTTTTGTCGCGTACGGGGATTCATCGTCGCGGCACGTCGCCCGGTGAAAATCGGTGGTTTTTCCCACGGACGAGCAAAACAACCTGTTAATTACGCAGGACCGGCCTTACCCGCTGCCAGTCAAATACAAATGACCTTAGCATGCAAGCAGGCGGACGGACGGCGAGAGCCTTTAAGTGACGCAACGAGCCTGTCCCACCCTCCCCGGGGTAGGTGGTGTTTGCCAGAAACGTTTAATTGCGACCGCCCGGTGGACGTCGCGGCGTGGAACGTTCGTTAGAATTTCATTAGTAAGTTCAGGTCGCCGCTGAGTGATTTGCTTTGAAAGGACCATGTCTCGCACGTCCACGACCATTGTATTTGCTTCCGCGCCCGGTTTTTCACCCCCTCTTGAACCGACCACAATGGCAGCCGCCACTTGCCCCCCCCCCCATCGCGTGATTCTGAGGCGCTAAACACGCAACCGGCTATGAAAGAATGAAAGGCGCAAGGGCGGTCTTCTCTTTAATGGACCTGCGGTAAATTTATATAAGCTCTTACCTTCGCCATTCTTCTGTGAACCATGAGTACAGTTCACTTTAACCCAGGTAGCACCGTACATCTTAAGGACGGCCGTTTCATGTCCAGTTTATATCCAAATGTCCTACGACCATTTTGGACATCCCTAGGACGTTCGTAAGACTTAAATTTCGGATGTTCTAGAAACGTCCGTCTCAAAAGTCTTACGGATGTTTTCAAGACTTAAATTTTGGATAGTTTCGTTTAATATTTTTGTCAACGTCATTCCGTGCAAGGTGATGGAACCACATGAACAAGATGTCAGTCTTTAAAGAGTCAATAGGAAAGTGTAACGACACTAGTGGTTTTGTGCGAAAACCTCAAGAATGTTGAAAAAACATGTTTTCTCTGAAACTGTCTCTAACCAACACAAGAATTTATTCTGTTTCTTTCGAATGTTTGGAGTTCTAATTGTTTTGAGCGGTGTATTGTTGTGCTTACACCGGTTTTAAAAATATTCTGTGTGGAAAAAAAGGATACATTTGTGACAGAAAAAATGTTGTCAGATCGTCTACATAACCCGCGAAGTGCATTTGTCCACTACAGTAGACGCCTACTTTATCACTTTAGTGACAAAATTTCAAACATTTCATGTTGATTGGCAGTATGAAATTTCTTTAAATGACAACCAAACATTAGAAGAACGGTGTTACTGTGGCTACTACATTCGTTATTTATCATGAGCGACTACACTGTTTATAAAAAAACAGTGCTTAAAAACGGTTTCACATAGTCTTAAATGGACTATGGATTCTTGATTTTATGAAACAAAATTTTTGTACAAGATACCAAAAAGATACAGTCAACGGGATAAAGAGATAACGTTGCAGAACACATCCGTAGATCAAACTGTGTGTCGGTGTATTTGAATATTCGTAAATACATATTATCGATGAAATGTAGATTCGATGAATCGAAGCCGAAATATTGTTCGCTAACTTCATATGGTGTTGATCTACAAATGAATTCGACATACGTAACAGGAACTGGTTTGTCGAACGCTTACCCATCTCTGTCGACATGTCTATACAATCTTGGAAGATATACAAAAGCAATCTAATTGATCGAAGACTTATCCACATTTGTAATAATGAAAACTAACTAATTGTACTGATGCAAGGCAATTGTCATTGGAAAAACTATATTTCCCAAGAAAATCGTAACTCCGATCCACAAGTGGTCGCAATAGCGTCCGACTGAAAATAGAATAGAACGAAGCAACGCTACATTTTAGTAGGACGGTATTAATTACCCTCTTTTCTCCCTCTTTTTCTCTTTTTAATACATCCATTCGCTGGCAATTAAGCGAGTCGAACAAAAAATTAATGAATATACTGCTAGGTAAAGTACCAAAGAATAAAGACACGTATGAGAGAATATATATTTCGATATTGCCAGATGAGAAAGCATCAAAGAGGTACAAATCTTTATCTGTGTAATGGATAAACACGTGTTTGGTAGTTCTCATAATTCTTCTCGTTACAGGATATCCCGGTCACTTGATTTATGATACTATTGGTGTATTTCGATCGTGAGTTTGGCGCACCGAGGACAAACCGACCCTTCTCTTTCTTGTCTTTAGCCGTGTCCTTCATGTAAGGGTCGCTCTTGTATGTCGGGAATTTATCGAAACAGCCGGAATGATTTCCACCTGGTTTCTTTGGGAATGGAACGTAAATTCGACCGGGTGGTTTCATTTTTACTGTTACTTTCTCTGGACATGTGTACGTAGATCCCAGGGTTTTGACCTCGTAGGGATTCGGCGGGAAATAATCGAGTGGAGCGCTGGCATACAGAAATCGACCGACAGATTTTCCTATTATGGGCAGAGAAAAATTCAATTAGGTTACTGTTTACTGGGAAGCTTCTCGAGAAAGAGAAGTAAAGACGAATGGAAATAATCTTATGCATATTGCACAGTTGCAATTGCATATTGCAATAATTTTTCTAAATGAGTAGATGAATAATAATTTTAATTATAATTTAATGATATACATAATAATTCTTTTGTAATATGTGTAGTTTCGATAGAAATTTGTATATTAATGAACAAATTATCGAATTATTATTGTTTATTAAATTTCTGTAATTAAATTATATTAATGAATTTTCAGTTGGTATTGAAATAACAGCTTGTTGAAACAGATCACAAGTGTTTTTTACAATATAAAAGGTACTTAGTACCATCAGAATATAAAGGGTTAACACGCCAAATTAGTTTTAATGAGCCAACCTGTATAACATTCACCTGCCCTTTGAACAAAAAATTGCATGAAAAAGACTTTTGTCATCCTATACCGAGGCAGTATTCTTTTGTACGTGAATGTCGAATGAAATATGATGTAAAACAAAGACATTTTTCCGCTATTCGTTTAACTACACAGATATTCATCGTTTCATTATGAAACCATTTTTCAGTTACGCTGCGTTACGGAAGAAGATTTCCTAATTAACGCGTCTGTTTCGTAACAACCGGCCGAATAAAAACAATCGGTTCAGTTAATTTTGTTCTCTTAAAAATTTCTCGTATGTCCCTGCCTGAAATCCGTCTCGGGGTGAAATTTCGAGGTGTGCGCGCCGCGTGCATTTACACACCAGACGCAAGGAAAAAAGCTGTCCGAGTGGTAGCGAGCTTTCATTTTCCAGCGTTCCTTACGACAAAAATGTAATTAGTTGCGCCGGCTTGGGGAGAGCAAAATTCTACCGAAGAAGGAAGCGGAAACGGGGAAAACCGAGACTCCAATCTTCTTCCGCTTTACAAGCCCTCTTTATATTACCTTTTTGCTCGACGATATTGTCTGTCGTATCCACCGTTTCGCGGGACGGGGATAATGAACGAACAAAAATACGGAATAAGAAGCGGAGAAAACGAATGGAAAAATTAGAGCCTAACTGACAATGTACAAGTTTACACGTTTATTGTATACACACTATACAAGCTTCTGGCAAGGCAAGTGGTTTATTTCGGGAGTTTGCATCTGCTTGGTCAACTGGGATTAATACATATCTATTTCTGCATTTAATTTCTACGATTTTGTAGTTGCTGGTAGTTAAAGTTTAATCACATTTACGCGTTGATTGTAACCTGGAATTCTGTAGATGAAATTGGTATGACCATTGTGAGCGGTTGAACACGGTGGTTAAATTTGTTTGAGTTACATGAATTGGAATAACGGAATATATTTTTTAATATATTCCTCGTTTATTTGCAATCTGTTATAAAATAACAATGAAGAATAGTCATTACGTAGGAGAACAATGCGTACTAGTACAATAGATAATATGCTCATTGGTACATATTTTCTGCAGTCTCTTTATACATAGAATAGCTACGATTGCAAGGAGTTAAAAATGGGACAACAGAGTAAGGAATTCGAAATTGACAGAAGTTGAAAGCTTAGAGCTCAACTGACATGACGGTGCAATATATACGATTACGTATTTATTATTTACGCTTTTAGGGGGAAGAGCAATTTGTTGGGAGAGTCTGCATCACTTTTGTCAACTTTTATTGGTAATTCTACAGGGCGAGTTAATAAGAACAACTGTCTAAAATAACTCGTTACCTAGTGATTGTATCAGAAAACGTTTTAATGAGTTATGTGGCACCTTAAGGGATGCATCGGATGGGTACAGTTTGATTTTTTTGTATCTTATTTCTTTGACATATCAAGGTGACCTTGAGTTTTGTCAAGGTCACTGCATCTTTGTTTTAACGCCACCTTGTTGCCAATAGAAGGACGAATTCAACGACTTATAACATGATGGTATTCAAACAAACATGCCCTGACCTCGAGAAAACTCAAGGTCACCTTGGTGTCTAAAAAACAAATAAGATATAATGAAATCGAATTGTATCCGTAAAATGCTATATAATTCATTAAAACGATTTTTTATATAAGTAATAAGTAATGTGTTATTTTAGATAGTAGTTCTTATTGACCCACCCTGTATATGTATTTTCTTTTTAAGATTTTGTAGCTATCGATAGTCAAAGTTAGACGTTGTTAATCCTCTGCGGACGCAACATGTTGGGCACCAGTCAATGTGGATAGGAGTTTTAATAGAAATGATGAGCTTAAACTTATTTTACCGGCAAAGTATAAGATATAAGAAAATTCGCCATTTTTGCAGACAATACTACTGCCAGTGTCAGGAGGACTGTTCTCACTGCAACTGCCTTCATCAGACATTGCAAGTTAAAGCAGTTGCCCAGATAGCAAAAGCTGACTTCCTTCTACACCACATTATGGTTTCATATATTGCAATTGTATGGTGACTTTTTTAATACTAAATCTCCGTGCTTCACATAATTTATTATAGTGTGCATACCACATATTGTGAATGCTTGAAACAGCATTGAAATAGCGGCAACAAGACCCCGACGCGACGGTCTAAATTATTAATTTCTTGCCGTCAAACCTCGCGAACTTGGATTTTTGGACAGCTATCGACCGTATGCGTTGAAGTTAATATAGGTGCCTTTTAGTAGTTTTGAACAAAGGCTGATTTCTGAAATCCAGGAACAATGCACAAGGGACAAGCAAGGAAGCTTTCTTCTATATTTTTCTGATCCACTTGGATGTAACACAAAAAGACGTGGTTACCTATTAACCATGACGGAAACACCTACAGTTTTGTCAAGAGTTAGCCAATAGAGAAGAGTTTCTCTTCTTCACAATTTCTCTAGTCCTCACATTCAGCTGGAATCGTCAGTCGAAATTTAACCATCGAATAGGCCACCTCTGTAAAATACACTATGACACGAAATTAAAGGATCCCTAAATTTCGACCGACAAATTGGCGACATTTGATCTGCTGTTACGTCGTAAAAAATCGTACAACAGTCTCCTGGGTTCATTTTAAGGCGTAAAGCCTCTACGTTTTCACAGTCTTCAACTTTATTTTTTGGAAGTTGGTTTTTTTTGTTGTAGAGGGGGTGAAGAACTAAAGTTGCTTTTTGTCCTTTGAAATTTCACAAATTGAAACGTCTCTACGGAGTTTACCAAATTTTTTGGGGGATTTCTTTTGGCATGACGCTGTAAAGGGAAGTCTCATTTTCAACGGTCTCTAAACAGATGGCGTACGAGTTTTTTGCACTATTTTGTGCACTTAAAATGGAAAGTAGGCCGGCGGCATTAATATAATCCAAGTTACACCACAAAGTGATTGCACGGTCGGAATTGTAGTTTGTGTGTGGTATGTGCGTGTGGAGTGCGTGTTTAGTGTGTGTGGTGTGTGTATGCGTGTAGGACGTAGAACGTAGAGTCGTTTGAATTTGTAAAGCAGCTTCAGTTTTTCATTTCGTTCTACAACAAAAAACTAGCTTGGAAAACATCAAATTCAGGACTGTAAAAGTAGAGGTTTTACGCTTTACAGCAATTCAAATATCGACACTCTGTGGTCGAATTTTAGTGATTCTTTAAGCTTGTAGCGTAATGTAATTCCGCGGCTGTTTCCGTTAACTTCGTTGTTACTGCTTTCTTCTTTAATAAACCGTTACTTGTTGAAAGAAGTACTTTCTCAATTATCTTAATTGAGTTTATTTTTTCCAATTAACCAATTCGTTGCAATTTGAAGCTTCATATTTACTTGAATAAGTAACGCGAAGAAAAATGTACAATGGAGTAGCTAACTTTGATCGATCAACTGATGTTGTCGCGATTAAAATAAGTTATCACCTACAAACGAGGAAAATGTAGGCATCGGCACGAGGCTTCCTTGTGTGAACAGGGAGTGTGGGGTGAGAATCGGCACGTGGCTTCGCCGTGCCGACGAACGACCGTTTCTTAGATATTGCTGGTTTGGGCGGCGAGCCGTCGCTGCTGTCGTCGAGGTAACTTCGAATTAGGTTTTAATACGTTTTATTTAAGTATTATTTACAAATATGAATACAATTGAACAGAGTGACGTTGTGATGTTGCTGAAGTTCGGAAAGTGACTGTGTCATCCCCTGTTTAGGACCAGTATTTAAAGGGGTTCCGGTATGGAGGGGTGGACGTAAGTGTAAAGAATTTAGAAATGGATGACCTAGGAAATAGGGATATCATGGGAAGACATCTTCGCTACATTAGGAATTTGGAAAAGGGCTGTATGAGAAATCGGGATATCGCGGAAAGACGTCATGGCATCCTTAGAAATCCGAGTGAAAGTTGTCTCGGCGAACGGTCGGGTTTTTGAGGAGATTTGTATCGCAGGGTCGGTACATGGAAAAACCATCGGGGTAATGAAGGGTTCGTTGGCGACTACCGCGACACTACGACGCAGTCCGCGACTTTAAAGGCGGAAGCCGCCCCTGTGTGATCGGCGACGATCTCCGATGACGATCCGCCGAACGCTGAGGTCAGCGTGTGTGCGAGTGTGTGTGAGTAAGCCTTTTATATAAAGAACGAATGCGATGACGAGAGTCAGTCAGTCGCGATCCGTCGAAGTGAAACATTAAACAACCTTACCATTTAAACGTGTCAGATTCTTTCTCTCCCCGCTCGATATCCTACAAAGAGATAATTCATTTTACCGATTTTCTGTCTTGTTTCTTGATCATACGGGTCATGGGAATGAGGTGGGAAAGGATTCAGGCAGATATCCACGTATCCAGGCCCCCCACGAGGATTAGGCTTGATCTTCGCGTTCGGTGGCTCCGGTTCAGATTTCTTCTTCTCTCTCACCGCCGGATCGAAGTGACTAATTTTCTCGAAACACCCATGATAATCACCAGGAGTCGCGTGCCTCTTCGCCGGCGAGGGTGGCAACATGCGACCTCCGATGTTCTTCTTCTCGAGCTTCAGCTGCGAAAGGGTCGAGGTATCAGGTTGGCTTCTTTAGCTCGGTAATCGGGAACTGCAAAGATATGTTTTATCAGTTCCCGAACTGAAGTGTCGATTTTCATAGATTGTACGAGCTGAGGCTGCTCGTGAATGATGGTTATATTGATAAATATCGTTCCAGAAATATCGAAATAAAAGAGAAAAGCTAATGAAACTGTATTTTGGTAATCATGTGATCCTGTAACAGTGTTCACTGCCAAAGTTTTCATTCTTAGGATATAGAATGAAAATTAGGATAAATTAGATTATTAAGAAAAGGAACTATTAATAAATTATATAAAGAACAACCAAAATAGGAAATGTCAGGTTTTGGCTGTGGAAGAAATTCGATGCTTTGTTATTAGATAAAAATGAAAATAGTTTAAAAATGGACGTATCAAGTTCTCAAGAGCCAAGAATTAAAAAAAAACTAGAATAATCAACGTACGAGTGGAATGCGATTGTCACCCAATTGGTCAGACATTGTTATAAAAAATCTTGTTACAATTGATACTATAAGGAGGTGTGTTGATGTGCTATTGTAGATGAGTGGATACATTCATATTTATACACAATATATTATAATATCAATTGTCGTTACTCAAATAAGGAGACTTATTATGAGACTATGCGACAGCAAAAGCCACTGTTTCATGGAAAATTTTGTAATAATCCTGTTTTCTCCTCGAGCCTATATATCCTGAAATGAAGATTATGTTTCAATAAGTACCATATTTTTAAATATTTGTTTCTAGTATTCGACGTATTTTAATTTTGCGTCTACATTCTGTATATTTTGCAATTACAATACCGTTTAGAATTATTCGAACGATATGACTTCTGGAGTTTGTGACAATGTTTTGACTCAGGTATATATTTTATGATCTTTACCCAACGTGTGTATTATTTAGGAAAGAGGATCCATAATGTACCAACGCAATGTTTTCTGTTTTATTATTTCTTAAGGACCATGATTCCTACAAATACCAAAGGTCACCTGTTTCTTAATCATTCCTTGTTCGTCCCTTAGCGAAACAACATTCGCTTTAACATTCTGAAAAACGTTTCGCAGTTTGTGTTCCTCGTGGTGAAAGTTGTTCCATAGGCGATATTGCAACTAAACTAAATATACCGAAGAGCAGTGTGTGGAATATCGTCAAGAAGAAAGAAACGACCGGTAGTCTAATGGACAGAAAGTTCTTTGTGCTCTTCTAAACCAATCCAGGCGTCCGAGTACTTTTAAACGGTACGTACGGTTCATAGTTATTATCAGTTTCTATGATTTGTCATTATTCTGAAAAAAATTACCTTCCTCATCGACGAAATAAATGTCACTTTAACGCTATGATCATTGCTTTGCGTACACCTAAATATGGCGAACGCACCAATGAATGAACATATATAAGATTTTATAATTATTAAAGTCAAATTTTAAATGATAATAATGTTCATAAATTTTTGCACATGAAAATTAGATTTTTTAATACGTACACCTTTTCATAACGTATAGATTTCAGTTTGAAAAATTGGAAATATATAATTAATTAAATTAAAAGAACTACAGACTTCACCAGCAAATGATCAATATTAAGTACTGTATTTGCCGGCGTATAAGACGCACGTTTTTAGAACTCCTAGTTAGATTAGGTATTTATTGAAAGTAGACCTACGTATTACTTTATCCTTGAAATACTGTAAATTCATTATAATATTCAACGATAAAGTTTTCTTCCTTATAAATGTGTACAAAAAAGTCTTATAGGCCGGCAAATACGGTAAGTGATCATTTCAGGAAATACTTAGAATATGAAACAAAGAATTTAAAACAATCATTATTTAATCGTTTGCTTATTTTAATAACTTAATCTATTTGTTTTTACATGTAATGTCCATCCACTGGTACGTGTTCATTTACTATTGCGTCTAGCCTACATTGCAAAGATATTTTCCAGAACAACCCCCCCCCCCACCCTCAGAACCGTACCGTTTATCGGATTCCAACTTTCTATTCCCGTTTCAAAAGAGAATTTATAGGTTGGGGGGCCGTTTTCGTCGCGAAGGAACACATTCATCGGTAACTAAAAGTCTCAAAAGATTGTCGGGTGTGTAACAGAAATGTTTCTAAATCGCGTCACTCGATTACCCGATTTTCCGCCTCCAATCGCCATGGCTCATTCAACGCCTCCCCGTTGAAGATTCGCGTGAATTTCTCGTCGAATAGAGGGGTGGGTGGTCCGGGGTGCAGTTGACGTCCCTTCTCGATGCCCCGCCGAAACTTTACCGCTCCGCTGCCGCCACCGTACGTGTCGAAGGGCGCCGGCGATGGATCGTGAAAAAATCCTTTGGAAAATAAGGTTGTAACGGGGTAAATTTACAAGGCGCGAGAAGCAAGAGGTTTGTTCACTGCGACGGTGTATGTATACTTTACCGACTCGATCGAGATCCGTTTTTCCGAATCGTTTGCCGAGTGGCTCTGGCTCGTGACGATTCCGTTTCATGCTTCTGTTTGCTCGAGGAGATTCTTTTCGTTATTTCGACTCATCGAGTAACCTGTAATTTCAGCGGCTCCCCCCCTACAAAAGACAGACGGACGATTGTTTTTTTTCTTTTTCGTTTCGAACGTTAAGCAAACTTCAGGAGCGACGATCCCAGCTCACCGAGCATATAATAATCTTATTTACGCTCGTCGGCGCTCATTTAACGCCATCTTTAACGCCGAATAATTTCACGATAAAACCGGTGAGATGTTGTTTTAATGTGACACTGCTGAAAACTCTATTGAGTTTCGAGTACGAGACGGAAATTTCGCAATTAAATGTTCTGCTTCGTGAATATTTCATTCTCGAAAATGTGACCTGGCATTTATTTTAAAGCTTTCTTTTGTGCTTTCTCAGCTTATTTTGCTGAATTTCACGTTAATTTATTGGGTTTTGTAACGCTTAGTAATGAACATTATTGTTTTCTTGATCATACGTCTGATTTAGTAATGTATAAGCATGTTATTTCTTTCGCTGTATACTGTAATCAGATATGGGCAAGTGCATTATGTAGATAAACAGTTTCGAATAACGAATGAAAGATAAAAAAGTACCTACTTCCTTATTTTTAATCGATTAAACGTGAAAATTCCCATTTTTATAATAAAATAATACTACTTCTTGGATGCATCGATATTTCGGAAACAATTATTTAATCTTATTAAGTGTTTAAAGCTCAGAATGATCACCTTGATTACTGCAGTTTTTCACTATTTATTATTCGAATAAAATTGTGCCTAACTTTGACTGTAACTCCTAGACCTCTGGGATGCTTTTTCTAAACACATTGTATATTAATTTGAAACATCAGGTACAGTAACGCTCGAAAGTATGTAGAGACTTTTTTATTTCTGACAAAGTATAATTTTAATCACAGATAATAGGCCTTACAATGATATTATTTTCTCTTTACTAGTAATAGCTATGTATATACCTAGAATGGGATATACAGTGATTTCTCGACGAATGCGACACGAACAACGGCGTTATTCCCACCACTGGGGAGCTTCCCCTCTGGAACCGATCAAAACAGTGTAAACAGAAACTAAGCCGAGGCTTGATTTCGTGCAAAAAACAAATTTATGAGGGGCTGAAAACCTTTCCACCTTGTCAAGAATGCTCCGAAGCGGACTCGAGTTCGTCTCACTCATCGAGACATTACTGAGATTTGCTTCGAACATAGCTGTTATTGAGAGCTCTTGAATGAATGTGTCTCGAAATTAAATGATCGGGACGGTATGGTTAATAAGTCCGCTGAATTTGTCTCCCTCACGTTCCCTACGGACTTCAAAAAAGTAAACAGGATTTCATTTAAAAAAATTACCGGTGGCCTTAAAATTGCGTGACACAATAACTTTAAGAAAGAATTCTTTCCACCATTGCATGTGTCCCTTGAAACAGAGCAACTTTATCCTGAAAAGATTTTTTATATAAGAATAAATAAATCAGATATTTAGGTGATTCCATATACAGAGCTCTCGCGATTGTTGACTCTTTGTTGATATGCGATTATTGTCCAGGCGTCTCCCCCCCCCGGGGGGGGGGGGGAGTGTGGAACTCGGCAACCACATACTTTGTTGCCACAGCGCGCCGAGACGGCTTTCCGTTCACGAGCCGACGTCTGAACGTTGGGAGCCCACAAAAAGGTTACATTCCCGGGTGTCAGTGAGACAATACTAATGCAACGATCACACTTTTTTATTCTTTATTAATGAAACTTTTATAAACAAATGGTGAGCTTTTTTGATTAAAATGAAACCAAACACGACGCAATTTGGGTCATATTTACTTATGATTTATCAGAATCGATAATGAACTAATATGAACTATTAACTGTTTCTACATGAGTAAATATGATTCAAATTATGTCATATTTGGTATCATTTTAATCAGACAAATCTCATCAATATATTAGTAAATGTTTCATTAACAACGAATCAAAAATAAAAAAGTTTCATCGTTTCATTAACGTTGTCTCGCGCGCCGGTCAACAATATATGCGCTCGATAGTTTCGTCGGACGGAGCGGGGGAATGTACGACGATTAGTCGAAGCGTTCAATCGTCAGCGACTGCCCAGAGAGCTGTCGACGAATAAAATGTAGCTGGATCACTTCGATTCACACGTATTTGTATTATTGGCCGAAACGGTACACACACAATCGGACTATGTGGTCGACTATAATGTAACCATTGATCGGCGAGAGCGTCGCAGGAGGGCAGGTCGAGTCGAGTGGGAAAAGAAGCTTTCTCTCTGTTTTTTACTGGCTTGTCCTTTTCTATGTTCGGAATACTACAAAGGCGAGTGCTGATGCTCGAGCTTCGGGCAAAAAACGTATTCACGAGGGTCATAAGCGTTTCCCGTACTCCAGGATTATTGTCCCGGCGTGGACCCGAGTTTGGGACAATAATCGAGAGAGCTCTGTAGCTGGTCCACCCTGTATGTTACGTTCCGAACACAGAAATTCTTTGTTTGAATTTCGCGGGTTTGTAAATCCCACTTACGCGGCGCTAATACGGGAATATTGGCTTTGTCAAATTAATGAGAAGCCCTCGTTGAGAATGTAATGTGATGTTGAAATGACAGTGATTGAATGGTACCGAAACAATTTAATAACGAATTTAAAAATGTGTCATGTTACAAGTGTTTAACCCTCCAAGCACGGAAACATGGTCACCGATCCCTATGTCATTTATGACCCCACACCGATATTCTACTACTACACAGCGACGGCGAGACTCTAGCCCGAGGCCCTTACCGACACTGTACCAGTATGGCTCGAACTCGAGACCCTCACCGATATTACTACATAGTGACGGTTACAATGTAACGATTAGCTGGTTTCACATTACATTTGGATTTTCGTGGTTCTTATTATACTAACTAAAATAAGAATCTCGTGAATTATAAAACAAATTATATTTACTTGCTATTGGGTGTTGTTTTAC